TCAGAGAGAGAGAGAGAGAGAGAGAGAGAGAGAGAGAGAGAGAGAGAGAGAGAGAGGAGAGAGAGAGCGCTAATAATAATTGGTCTTGTTTGGTACAGAAAAGGAAGCCGATGGCAGGAGACAGGATGCCTATAGCTAGAAACACGCGGTCCTGCCCTTTTCTCAGTGGACCTGCAGGGAGAAATGAACTGGAGTTGCATTTCATAGTGACATAGGTTCCCCCTAAGCCTCAGGTCAGCTTATGAAATTTTCAAGCCTTGAAAAATGCCCTTGGGGTAGGCTGAAAGGTCTGGGTTTTAGTTCTAGCTATGCTGGGACAGGGTGAGATGCAAGTCCCTGTAAGTGAGATGATAACCTGCCCAGCCCGGCCCAGCCCTGATCCAAGATAGGCAGATGAAGATGGAGGAGTCGGAGCCTTAATAGCCAGCTTGCTTTGCCAACATTGGAGGCAGAAAAACAACCAGTGGCAGGTAGCATTGAGGCTTGCTGTGAAGGCTGTAACAGCCTGCAAGGCCAGGCCTGCCCAGGAACTGTTTGCTGTGCTCTGTATCCTGACCATAAAGAGCTGGGAGCACAAGGCCTAATGTTTCGTCGCCCCTTGGTTTACTCTTGCCTTGATCTACTCCTCTTTACCCAGAGCAGGAGAGCGATGGCTAGAAACTGTCATGTCTCAGGTCACTGTCACAGCTGTACCCTGATAGCCATCTGTGGGCTGTTTCTCCTGTGAAAGAAATTTCGGAGATTTCTTTTCTCCATCTCTGCTCTCCCACTACCAAGTGAGGAATCTGGATGGTGATTTCTCAGGATTAGCTTTGGGCTCCATCTCATCCCGTATCATAGTTAGTTGGTTGTTTTCAATGGAACCAAGGGCCTTACATATGCTAGGCACACTACCACTGAGTCACACCCTCGTCTCCATTTGGGGTTTATTTTCTTGAGGCCTTTGTTGATTCTGTTGCAGTCTATCTGGAGAAGGGACAGAGTTCCATGTTCCCTGGAGCCACCTACAGTTTCTTGGTGTGTGTGTGTGTGTGTGTGTGTGTGTACCTGTGTGTACCTGTGTGTACACATGCACATGTGTAGCTATCCTCACTGGCCTCTGACCTACCTCTTCTGTGGCTCTCAGTTCATGCAGGCACTTCCTTTTTGAATGGTATCTGCATGTTTCTTGCCATCTGCAGGCACCATGGGAGCGAGGTGGTAAAAGTGGCGTTTTTAAACCAACGGCTCAAAAAGATGGGGTGTTTCCTGACTGTCACCAAAGATGGGGTCCTGCAGTTCTGGTCTGAGACTTTCTCAATGATGGAATCCTTCCGGGTGAGTGGGACACTTATGGGGTTGGTGGAGTGTCTTTGCTGTGGCGCTCTGAGTGAACTTGTCCTTGGCATTCACTGTCTGAGCAGCCAGTCCCTGAAGTCACAGGGCTCGGGTCAAGATTGTGACTTAACCACAGGGGGGCCTCACTTTGTCATCTGCTAAGCAGATACCAGCATGGATGTCCACTAGGCATCCCCAAAACAGTTCATCCAAGGAGTGTGTCCCTGGGGTTCCCATATCAGTGAGCATTATCCTCCCACCTCGGGGCCAGGGCCCAGCCTTCTCCTTTTGCCCTGTCATACTCACACTGTCCCTAAGTCCTTCTGATTGGGACCTTTGTCTGGACCAGGCAGGAAGTCATGGTATTTGGGCTCTGGGGTCCAACTTCCAGGGTTAGAATCCCAACTGTAACACCCATCAGCTCTGAGATGCTGGCTGAGATGTCTCTAATTCCTCGTCTGCTCAAAGAGTCTTGGAGTAGTAGCCCCTCTCAGAGCTATGGGGACACTTAATGGTATGGGACATGGGTCATGCTTGAGGAGGTTGAGGCATTCATTTAGTACAGAGGAATACAGGCCAAAGTCATCGTGGGCTTTCTGCTGTCAGCTCATGGCCTAGTGTAGTAAGGAATGACACATTCAGGCAAATCTGCTATGCACTTAATGTTGCCAAGCTGGTGGAGGATCCTACAGCAAATAAGGAAAACTCTGCCTTCCAGGGGGGGGGGCAGCAAGGCTTATGCAGGGCACTGTCAGTACTGTGAACGGTTTCATACCTGAGTAGCCTCGCAGTGCTCACACTTGGCAGCAGGGCTGGTCCTTGTGGGAGGAGAGACCTGGATGGGGTTAAGGTTTGTGGATGTTTCATTTCTCTCTCTCTCTCTCTCTCTCTCTCTCTCTCTCTCTCTCTCTCTC